CTTCCTTCCTTCCTTCCTTCCTTCCTTCCTTCCTTCCTTCCTTCCTTCCTTCCTTCTTCAATGGAAAAATCCAAGCACAGGAGAATCACTTCTTCAAAACTCTTTCTTACCTCTTCTGACATTTAAAACCTGCATTGGCTTCAGTGCAGATTCTACTGTCTTCTAATTGCTATTTCACATTCAAAAGTAAAGTCTTCTTTGAGTCCACCTGGACTCTTGGTGACTTCCTAGACATGGTCCTGTCTTTTTCTTGGTAATAATACTGGTGTTTTGCCACTGCTCTCTTCTGGGATGTTTCTTTGATTTCCCAGTTTAGCTCAAGCTCTGATATTTCCTAGTGATCTCCCATCCAAGTACTAAATGGGAGCTTTTTGAGATCAACCAAGGCTGGCTAGGGCGTATACACAACAATAAGTCCATGAGATGCTGAAATATATTTCTAGTATCACCTATGAAAATGCATTCAAATTGGCTGAATTTGTCCTCATAATAATATGCTTCAATGGGAGGACCATAGCTCAGTGGCAGAGCATATGCTTTGTATGCAGAAGGTCCCAGCCTTAATCCTTGAAGTCTCCAAGCAAGCTTAGAAACTCTCCTATTTGACACCTTGGAGAGCAGTTGCCAGTCTGTGCCAGTGATATTGAGCTAGATGGACTTATGAATGAGAAATGGCATAAGCAACTTCCCATGTTTGTAATTTCAGTGCTATCTTAGAAAAGGGCTGTTAAGTCAGAATAAATATTAAAATATTTATTAAACATTTTATATTAAAATATTCAGACACAAGCCCTCTAGCCCTACTATGGAATTTCTATGAACCAGACCTAGTTGAGCTAGACATCTTTCAAAAGGAATGAATTGCTTTCTCAAGCTATGTTTTAAATTGAAGAGCAGGGTGGGTATTTCTACTTGCCCAGGACTCAATAGGTGGGGCAGTGATGAAGTCACATCACTGGAAGAAGTAGGGCTGGAATATTCCATTTGTTACTCCATTCAGGTTTTGAGGGGAAGCAAGTTTTAACAAGCTTCCTTCTTTCCTTTCTGTCCCACATTGGGGTATTGTCATTATGGACAGTGTGTCACTGAATTTTGGTGGTGAGCCTCCAAGGATCACAGAAAAAAGGGGCTCAGAGGGATCTGTGTCTAGGCATTTCAAACCTCAGCCCTAGGGGATTTGATTTTAATTGGTGTTCAGCATTTAGTTTTTGTTAGGCATGTAACACATACTTTAAAAAACCCTCCCTCCCTCCCTCCCTTCTGATATTTCCTACATTCTTCCTAACTGAGATATGCTGAGTAAGCTTCACAGCTGGCTTCTGAATAGCAGCAACATGTTTTCTGAGCACAGTAGCAATGGAATGGCTATCATGGTTTGGAGATGGCATCTCTACTCCTTGCTCACTTGGTGACCATCTCTTCTTTCTCCTTGTTCTCTCTTTTTCTCTGAGCAGGTTGGAACCATCTATTGCTTCTCTGAACTGATACAAGGAGACCCACCAGTGGTTGGCACTGGGCTTCAGATTTTCCCTGCCAGCAGTAATGATGCCAGCATCTACACTGTGGACCCAGCTAGATGCCTACATCTGCCAAGTAGTTACTGCAGGCTTGACAGAAACAAATGCCAGGGCCTGTCATGTACTTTCAAAACAAAACAATTTCAACTGCTAGCCTACAGGCACACGTCACCTTAAACAATAATGCAACGGTATAATGACAGGCCCTATCATGTTTTCAGTTTTGCAAATAAAAATAGTGTTTTTGTTTCACATCAAGGGCTGAGGCTTTCCCATTTCGGAGCAGCCAACTGGCAGCAAAAAGTGGCATTTCTAAATGGCTTCCTTACCAATGTGCTGAGCGCAGGTGTCACAATATTCTGCATATAAGGACTCGAAGCAGTTGCAACAATATGGCCGCCCTTCCTTCATGATGTACCGCTGGCCGCCCAACACAGTTTCACATTCAAAACAGCAAAAGTGCTTCATGTGCCAGTGCCTTCCTTCAGCTTCTGTGCATTCATCAGCAAATATAATCTGTAAAAGCCAAAAGAAGGAGTCAGGCTTTGTTCATATGTATTATTTGCTACTGCAAACCCTGCTCTTCTGTCATCTGTTTTGGCTTGTTTTTCACAGTATGGCTGCCTCAAGACCCTTCTGTCTCGCCTTCTTGATACAGTGTCTCATTTTTCTGCCTCTGCAGCATAAACAGATCACATAGTTGCTGTGGAAATTGCTATATATGGTTCAAGGATAACATTTAACTTGAAATGGCACATTCCTTGTTTAGCAAATGGAACACAGAAAGTGGAAAGCATGCTCCTGTAATAAGAGAAGACCAAGACAGACTTCCCAGGATGCAAGCCCTGATTGTGGTCAGGGCTGATGCACCTCCAAGGCAGGCGGGGTGGAGTGGGGGGGAAGAGAGAGAGAGAGGGAAGGGACTGAAGCTTTTGCAGTTGCAGGCTAATGAGGACTGTTGCTGCGTGATTAATAGTACACTGTGTTTTGAAGCAAGGGACTCAAGATCAAAGCCTTCAAAACCAGGGAGTTTACTCTGATTTGACTTTTTGCAGAGTTTTAACTCTAAACCTGTCCTTTGCTAATGTCAGTGTACAACTCCTTATGATAAAGAACATTTTTCATTCTATGCATTTTTCTCTACCATTAAATTTCAATAAAACCACCACCAATGGTTACTAGTTGGGATGATTACATGCAAGTTCCACATGTTGGAGTCAGTATGCTTCAACTGATGGGTACAAGAAGTCCTTGCTTAATGATCGTTTGTTTAACGACAGTTCGAAGTTACAATGGCCTTGGAAAGGGTGCTTTATGGCCCGTAAAGCACTTCCTGCTGTCATAAAACGTCACACTCCCCCCACAGTCACATGGTTGCATTTCAGGTGCTTGGCAACTGGCTCACATTTACGACCAGTTGCCAAATGCCCCATGATCATGTGATCATCATCTGTAATCTCTGACAGCAGGGAAGGTTGCAAGCAGAGGGGATGTGGCAGTGTGCAGGAACGGAGCTCAAATCCTGAAGATTTGAGCTCTGTTCCTCCAGCTCCACCAATAATTTCCCCTCCATTCTCAGAGGGGAGGGGAAACTCCTTGGCGGTGTGAAGACACAGAGCTCAAATCTT